GCATGTTTATCTTTTTTATATATATATATATATATATATATATATATATATATATATATATATATATATATATAATTGCTTAAAATTACAAAATGAAAGATTATACCCTTTATCAGTTGTTCTCTACCCCACGCTCCCTTTTCATTTGTCAGTTGTCCTCCTATTCAATGCTTCTCTGCAAAGAAATCACAGTATTATAGGCAGTTGAATGAGTGTTCAGCTGTATAAATTAAGTACAGATGTTTCGCTGCCTGTTCAGCAATAACCTGAAGGATTTCATTGATCATGGCACAGACACAATTTGACATCCTTTCTTTGGTAGACTATGTGAAAATAATTATTCTTTAGGATGTTGAGGTCTGTCTGTGGTGCTCTGTTGACTTTTCAATGCGTGAGGTGGGATTCAAGGCAGTTTTGCTGTGTATTCACAGGTTTTGGTCTCAAAGGTTAACCATAACCCCAGTATGAAAATATTTTGGTCTTAGTTTCTCATTACTAATTTGTCAAGGGGAGGGATTTTCTCTTTTTTGTTTTGTTTTCTAGCACATCTGATGTAATGTGGTTTGAATAAGTGAGACCTCTCATAAATGGGCTATTAACAGTGAGTTTTTGAGAATGGTTTGGCTTCAAACTTGTTTTGAATAATTAAATATATCAATAATAAGGATGAATCTAATGCCAAATATACATTATTTATTTAGAAAAAATACATATATTGATAAAGGAGTATATGCTTAATTTTTTTTTGGCTCTAACCCATGTTCATTTGAACTTTGTCAAGATTATTTTATAGAGCTATGACAGCATGCAGGATCGTAAAAGAAAAAAAAATGAATGTATGATTTGATGTTTCATTGCTGTTAGTTGTTTTGGCATTTTACAAATAGTTTGGTATTTGTACAATTAATTAGCTTTTTTATTTATAATTTATTAAGTCATATTCACATATCTAAATATAAAATGTTGGGTTTTTTGCAGATGAGGACTTTATGAAGGGTTTGGTCCTTCTCTGCTTTAGTTTTGCTTCAGTATTTTCCCTAATTCCAGATTCGATCAATCTGCCTCTTTGAATAACTGAATATTAAGTATGATCATTTGTTGTACATAGAACTACTATTAAACTTTTTTGAAGAAAAAAATGAGTTTTGTGCTGCTCGTTTTCATTTGTTTGTTGTTTCATTGTTGTTTAAAATGAAGTATTTAACACCAAGATGTCGGATGGCTTTATTTTTTATTAATGTCAAGATTGTCAAAAAGACTTTTTTTGAAACAACCAGAAAAATGTTTCTTAAGTTTAGATTGCAAAAGCAAACCAACATTTCAAACCATACTCTTAGGTGTATTTTTATCAAAGTACTTAGAAAAGTTATTCATGATGATGGTGATGGGTAAAGAAACCACAAGCAACCCACAGAGAATGCAAAGTGTAGCTACAATTCTCCCAGCTGCTGTCAGTGGATATACATCCCCATAGCCTACCGTAGTCATTGAAATAATGGCCCACCACCAACAAACAGGAATAGAAGAGAGTTTGGACGAAGCGTCTTCCTTTTCAGTGTAGTAGATAAACGTCGAGAAGAATGATATTCCAACAGTAATGAAAAGAACGAGCAGACCCACCTCGCATTGGCAGCTCTTTAGAGTTTCTCCAAAAGCTCTCACTCCTTCTGAATGTTGAGCAAGCTTTAGCACCCTGAAGGCCCTCATTAACCGGAGAACCTGAACCACCTTCCCCATGTTGACCAGATGTTGGTTTTCCTCCCCATTCTCTTCATCCAAACATTCAAAGGCCAGCGTCACATAGAAAGGCAAGATAGAAGCCATGTCAATGATGTTCAGAGGCTTTCCCAAAAACCTCAATGTCTGAGGAGCTACTATGGACAAACTCCACTGAGAAGAAAATAATACAAATGAGCTCCAGAGAGTCCAGGACAGAATGTTCACTGTCGGTTGCATACCTGAATTCGGGCATACTGTGGATACACATGGCCACAATGACCAGGACGGAAACCGCAGCTACACCTTTGCAACACTTGGAGTGATTGGGATCTTCAAGAGTTTGACACATGAACTTGCGCACATCTGAACACCACGTGCCCTCAAACCTCCACAGGTCACTGCCCACAACCGATATCTCTCCAGATGACGCTGCATTACTAGACCAGCCAGACACGGTCTGCTCCCGCTCATCTTTGCGCTCAAGGAACCATTCGAGACAGCAGGCTTCCAGATCCAGCTCACTGATGCCCCAGTATTCGATCTCCTGACTGAAGCAAAACACACAGAGCTCCTCCGCAGCATGAAAGTGTCCTGTACAGTAGAAGTTCAGAACGCAGTGGAAGACTTGCGGGCTCCTGTCGAAGTAGTATTCCTGCTCAGCGGGGCTGTAGTCGTCACAGAGTTCCAGGATTGCGGCATCGCTGCAGCACTGGATTAACTGACCCACACGTGTGTTGGGGAACCGGAGCAGAACACAGCACTCCACCTTGTGCTGGGTGCCCCCAACGTTGAGATTAACAAGATCTTCCTCCCTGCCTTGATGGTGGAGAACTTGCCTATACATCATGGTGGTACCGATTCATCGAATCTGGAAGTCTTGCCAATGATATACTTTCATTTTCTACTAAAACAACATAAATATGAAAGTTAGCTACATCAAAAGCACAGAAAACTATTAAATCAATGAAATTGATTAAATAAATGACCAGCATATAAACTCTAGATCAGGGGTCCTCAATTCTGGACCTTGAGATCCACTTTCCTCCGGAGTTTAGCTCCAACCCAATCAAACAGACCTGAAAAAAGCTAATCAAGGTCTTCAGGATTACTACAAATTTGCAGGGATGTAGGAAGCTCCAGGTTGGAGCTAATCTCGGCAGGAAAGTGGATCTCGAGGTCCAGAGTTGAGGACCCCTGCTCTAGAATAATTTTGTTTAATGATAGTCCTGCAGTATGACATCCTATACTCTATTTACACTTTTTTTTATCATATTAATTGAAATGCATGGTACTTTAAAATATATGTCACATCACAGGACCAGTGAAGCAAAGCACATCATACAGTACAAATACATATGAATGAGATATGAATTAGCCACCAATTCGCCAAAACGTAAAATAGTTATAAATTGCCTTGAGATTGTATTGGAAAAACCACACAAATAATATAATACACATTTTTACTTATACTATTAACATTGATAAAAAGTTGCCATTAAGCTGACATTATATTTGACATTAAAGAAACACTTCACCCTAAAAATTTAATTTCTGTTGTCATTTACTCATATCATTCCTTGATATGAGTAAAAAAGTAGTTATTTTGTGAAATGTCTCAGTGTTTTCCCTCCATACAATGGAAGTCAAAAGGCTAGTGTTGTTTGTTTCTTCTGTGGCCCAAAAATATAATAAATGCATACAGGTTTGAAATGGCACGGGGCTGAATAGGCTTACAGATGACATTTTGGGTGGTTGCTTGCAAACATGTTAAAAAGTTCTGTGTAATGACTGACAGGGTTATCTTCGGGTAATGGTGCCACCATTTGTGTGCCATGACTTTCTGATTGATGGATTCTTGAAAATTCAACAGTAACCTCTTCAAATGAAATAAATTATTATCGATTATGATATATCAGAATTATTTTAATTATGTACAACAGTATTTAGACTGATGGCCTCCTTAACTTAAACTGTACTGTCACTGCTGTAAACTGCTGTAAACAGATCCTCCCAGACAACCTAGACTGAAACTTAACAACATCAGAGTGTATATCATCTGAGCCTACTACAATTACAGATTCAAAATGTGACCGTATTTATTCTGTAGGTTAACATAAAGGGTGGCATTATTCAAGAAGAACACAACACTGCATTTGACAGTCATATCTGACAACATATGCACTGCTTATGTTTAATATTCTGAGTTACCTTAAAGTCACGGGGAGACACTTTTAATTAACACTTATTTGAGGATACCTGTAAATATTAAATAAAGGCACCTTTTTGAATAATCTGTATGTGGCTTTTCAACAGTTCAACTGTATCTAAAACAACTAATGAAACAGCAAAGAATGTAGAGTAAAAAATTCACCATTTGAAACCTGATGCTCTCTCTCTCTCTCTCTCTCTCTCTCTCTCTCTCTCTCTCTCTATATATATATATATATATATAGCAATGATGTTCTAGGGAATAGTAATGATATTCTAGGGAATTTTTGCTTCTAATTTTATAGCAACAGTTTGGACAGGATCCTTTTCTAAAATGGCAATGCCTCTGTGTATAAGGCAAGGTTCAAAAATAAATGATTGATTTGGTCAGTGTGGAAGAACTTGACTGGTCTGCAGAAAGCCAATTAAGTCCCAATCCCAAACACCTCTGGTGTGACTTTAAATGCAGATCTTGAGCCAAAAACTCATCACCAAACACCAATGACTTGTACACAACACTATATGGACACCCCCTTCTTTAGAACAAAAAAAGGCACCTTTTGAACCTTGCCTTATACACAGAGGCATTGTCATATGTGACCCTGGACCACAAAACCAGTCATAAGAGTATTTTTTTTTTACTGAGATTTAAATGTCATCTGAAAGCTGAATAAATAAGAGTTTCATTAATGTATGGTTTGTTAGGATAGGACAGGGGTAGGCAAGTTCGGTCCTAGAGAGCCGCAGTCCTGCAGAGTTCAGCTCCAACCCTAATCAAACACACCTGAACAAGCTAATCAATGTCTTCAGGATTACTAAGGCTATAGGCAGGTGAGATTTGTTTTCATGGTTGGAGCTTAATTCTCTAGGACCGAACTTGCCTACCCCTGGGATAGGACAATATTTGGCAGAGATACAACTATTTGAAAATCTGGAATCTGAGGGTGCAAAACAATCAAAATATTGAGAAGTTGTCCAAATTAAGTCCTCAGAAATGCATATTACTAATCAAAAATTAAGTTTTGATATATTTACAGTAGGAAATTTACAAAATATTTTAATGGAACATGATCTTTACTTAATAACCTAATGATTTTTGGCATAAAATAAAAAATTGATATATTTAAATTTACAAAATATTTTAATGGAACATGATCTTTACTTAATAACCTAATGATTTTTGGCATAAAATAAAAAATTATAATTTTGACCCATAAAATATATTTTTGGCTATTGCTACAATTATACCCGCGTGCTACTTATGACTGTTTTTTTTTTTGGTCCAGGGTCACATATTAGAATAGCAAAGGGTCCTGTCCAAACTGTTGCTATAAAATTAGAAGCACACAATTGCTTAGAATATTATTATATTCTTTAACATTAAGATTTGTACTCATGGAAATTACTAAAGTAGTCAAACCTGTTCATTAGAATACATTCCAGTAGGGATTTATTGTTCACTCCTTTTATGATTTTTATTAAATTATGATACTTATTTTTGTTTGCACACGAATTGTCCTAATATGCCTCCTAGACGTTTGAAACCTACAAACTTACGGCTAGAGAAACCAAGCTCTAAACATTCCGTTATTAAGAAAGAGTCCTTTTAAAACCTTAGTTTCCCGTTAACCTTTAAATCCAGGTCCACACCTAGCAGGGCGGAGAGTTGTTGTATGTTTTGGGATATGGAAATATGAGTGTTTGAATTCATCAGGAGATGTGTTGATTTATTTAATGATATTTGTAGAGCTTTATGGCTTATGGTCACTATAATAAGCATTCATGCAGATACCTCTGCAGGTAAGCCATGCTGTGCGTTCACTATTTTGTGTCAAATCATGCAAATCATTACTTAATGGATACATTTCTTGATTGCATATGGAATCCAAGCTGAATGTCTTGGAAATAGGGTACAGTTTATCCTCCCTGGTTCTTTGAGTGCAGGAGGTCTTTTAGAGCTTTATGCAGTCAGTAAGTTAATCATCCCTTTGTTCATGAGCCAATGAGTTTAATACACACAGAAATCAGTTCAGACCTAATCTGGGCATTTCAGACGACACACAGACAGTCCTTCTCACACCTCACCTGGCGGCTCAGTGTGGCTATACACAGAAATCTGATCCTTGGGGGAATAAGGTAGTGTCAGCTTCCCTACAGAGTTGTTTTTGCAGAGAACCAGGTTTGTGTCTTTTATAAATTAAGCATTTCTTTAACCAGCTCTAGTTGTGGAGCTATAGTTTATTATGTAAATAATTAAGAAAATATGAAAGTTGAAATGTGGGAGTGGATATTTAAGAAGGGAATTGTTTTATTTCTAATTGCACGTACCTAACCATTTTTCCAATAGGGTGACAAGGAATTTTGAGTAGCCATGCAGTTTAAACCGTATGAATTCCCCACGCTATCTGAGAAAGTCCATGAAGTGTTCAAGTTCTGCAGTCACACCATGACTGCACGTAAGATTTTGTGTGAGACAAACTTTATGGAGGCAAGTAACTTATTTTCTTAAATATGTAATTTTTTAAACTTTTGATAAAAATGAGGACATTTCTGACATTATGTGGAGGTTATGCATCAAGTTTGACCAGTGGCAGCTGGATAGTTTATAGGACTCGTAGCTGCTAAATTGAGGAATTTCTTATCTAACTGTATGATCTAAGACTAGTAATCTAATGTGTCAATGGAAATGCAGTACTTGTGTTATTGCTACCTGCCTTTGCATGCTTATGTTCTTTCAGGTATCCGTAATAAATGCAATGCCAGAAATCAAGACAGCACCAGTACAACAGCTGGTATGTATAATAATATTTTTAGTGGTACTTCAGTAAGCTGCTGGTGTCCCACACCACTTATACTACATGAATGATGTCTAAAATTGTGTTTTTAAGGAGTGTGTGCTGTTCCCTTTCAGTCAGTCACGTTCTACGTTACGTCAGTCGTGACTGATGAATTGGGATCTCGCCCGAGAGCCCAATCACCTTCGAGTGTTAACTAAACAAGCCAATGACAGTTGTCGTGCGTGTTTCGCCACGCGCACCCCGCCCCGCAGCGCAGGTATAAAAGGAGAGCGCGTGCAAACGCACATCAGTTTTCGCTTCGGAGCCGAGCCTTCTCAGGACGAATCTCCGCGAGTGTTTGGAAGAAACAGCTGGCGTTGGTGTTACGGCGCGTCAGCGGGGGTTGCCATTCAGTGCTGCTCATCTTCGGCGTGCTGCAGCTGCCATTCTGCGGTCTCGCCACAACCTCCCCTGGGCGCTTCAGCGCTCTCTCTAAAAGAGTGTTTTTCCTTCTAAAAGAGCAATTTCTAAAAGAGCTTCATTGTTCCTGGGTTTTTCTGTTCCACCGCTGGCTACCCAGCCAGTGGTGCCCAAAACCCCAACAGAAGAGCGGGTTCCTTTTTCTCCGGGTTCCAAGAGGGCGAGGATGGCAGTGCGCGAGATCCAGTCTCCACATGGCTGTCCCCCTCTCCCTTCGCCATGGGGCAACAGGGTTCAGTTCAAGGACGCTATGCCTCCTCACGAGCCCCCTGCCCAGCCGTGGAGCCAGGTAAGTGGCACGCCGCGCACTCAGACCCCACCCTGGGATGCACGGAAGCCTCCCGGGTTGGGTCCCTGTGTTCCCCTGCACTGCCCCACTGCGGGTACGTCGGTGGTTTCCCTAGTCCCGCCTACTCGGTCGCTGGGGGCCTGGTAAACATGCCCCAGGCCGTCTCGCTGGCTCATGTGAACCGTCAGACTCGGCTATGCGATTCAATTCGCCCGGCACCCTCCCAAGTTCAGGGGCATTCGGTTCTCCTCTGTGCTGGACAGGGATGCTCCTGTCTTGCGTGCAGAGATTGCGGT